CCAAGGTCACCCAGCAAGTTTCCATGGCAAAGTCGGGATTTGAACCTGGATTCCCAGTTCCTAGTCTGACACTTTAACCACTACATCAGACTGGCAGGCATAACTCATGCAAGAATAAAGCTAGGAGACTCAAAATTGGCCACCAGTTTCAGGAGGATTGTCGGAGTTTCATGGCCAAAATTGAAAGGCATGGGGAAATCCTGGCCCATGTAAGACAAACCACCGCCACATCATGCTATTTGCAACTGAAGCTAAGGGTCTCTGTGGCAGGCTGCAGCATAACTCAGTAAATAATGCTACATGTTTGAAAACTGGCCACTAACCCCAGAATAATGATGGAAGTTACAGTGCCAAACATGAAGAAAATTGGAACACCCTAAACCAGGTTATCTTCACGACAGGCAGCAAATAATGAGAGAGCTTTTAAGCAACCTATGTGTTTCTAATACTTAGATCCCAACCTGCCATGGAAGGTAGCTGGGTGACACACTCTCAGCCAGACCTGCCTCACAAGGCTGTTGTGAGGATAAAATGGAAGACAGGAGAACAGTGCAGCTTTGGGTCCCCACTGGGGAGAAATACTGGGTACAGTATTTGTTATAGATCTAATTTTAATGCTATTTTAAAAATTTACATCATTTGTAATATAGCAAAGTAGCCTTTACAAAGAGCTATTAGATCTTCCACCAGCACAGTAATGATTAACAGCCCAGTGCCTGAACTGGGAGTTGTAACTTCTGTTCCACATGTATAACCACTAAAACAGATTAATGTTCCATTACCATGCATGTAAAGGGGAGGAGAGTTTACTACTTTGTTAGATCATGGGGAAAGATTAATCTCCCTCCTTCTATTCATAATATTAACAAAGGTTTGCTACTATACTACTCTTAAGTACATTTTGTCACCAAGCAGAATAGGGATGAGAATAGGGTTGCCAAGTTGACATACCTTCAAAGAGGGGGGATTCCTGGCTACCGGAAGTGATGTCATCACATCGCCCACATTGGGGGCGGGGCACCGTGACTTGAGGGGAAACCATAGAGTTTTCCCTCGGTTCACAGAGTGTCCCCCCCCCCACAACGTGGCCAGCGTGATGATGTCACCTCCGGGTGACATCATCACGCTGGGGACACCCTCCAGCAGGGGGTGGAGTTCCCCCGGGGCCCGATCCACCGGTGGCGGGTAACAGGCCTCCCGGGCAGGAATTCGCCCGCCCCTAGCAGGGGCTTGGCAAGCCCAGAAGAGAAGGTCTTGAGACCCAGAAGTTAAAATAAATGGGGGGGGACACAGAAAAATTAGGTGGAGGGAGATAGAAATGAATGAGAAAAATGTGGAAAAGAGGGACATAAATTAAGGAAAAGAGAGGGGAAGGTTGGTGCAACCTTGGTGCAACACCCTAACTACTGCTTTGTAAGATCTGGCTGACCTGGGTGCAAGGAAAGGAAGCGAGAAAGGCTAGACTATTATAGAAAATGACCTTGGTTAACAGGCTGCAGGCTGACAGTATAGCAGTTATCAGCCTGGGTGGTTTGTCTTGTTCCATTGCTGGATTAGTTGATGAGTTTAGACAAGTTTGCCTCAGTCATGGAGAAAGGGAAGTCTAGCCAATATTAGAGCACATTTTACTGTGCTCCGGCTTCCCTGGACCCCTAGTGGCTTCAGCCAGAACTGCATTAAAATAAATGGAAAGACATTCAGCTGGATGCAGCATGAGGCTGGCTTCAAGGATCCTCCAGCTGACTTGAGTCCCCCGAATTTTGTCCCCTCTGTCCCCTATGCCAGTGGCCCTGTGTGGTAATGATCTATAAGACTGTGATGACCAAATGGAATTCTGCACAACCAGTGGTTGGTGCCTCTGTAAGGCCAAATTCTCCACATGAGTGTCTTTAAGGGTCTGGTGACACTCTCTGTCAAAGAAACTTTGGCTTTTAATGAAACATATTATTACAACTTCTGGCAGATCATTGCTTTACTAGGTTAATGGTCTGCTGATGTTTATCAACAAGAGCTAATTGTTAGGAGGTGGTCTCAACTAGCTCGCTAGATCTCTTGTTCAACGACCCATCAAAAACTTGGAAAAGGTTACCGTCTGCTGAGGGAAATCAGAGTATGTGCTGAGAAATTGCTCACTGGGGTACAGGATCTGCTGTGTGGTAATTGATCAACTGTCTTGTAGGAATGCCCCTCCCTCCATCTGTGTTCTGTTCTGCTTGTGTATTTGTAAATGGACCAAATTTTACAAAATTACGATGTCTCCAATGTGTGCTCACTTTTATCCAAAGAAAATTTGTAGCAGTCCCACTAGAACCTCATCACTCAGCAATGTCTGGAGCATACAGCTAAACTTGCTGATAATAGGAATACACTGGCAAGAAGCACTTTCAGGGGAAATTGGGGGATGGGAGGGAGAGGAGCCCTTTCTGCGTATTAATTCTTGTTTGCAGTCTCCCTGCTGATGTTATTCACACATACATAGAGTGAAAGAGTTGGGCTCAGTTTTGATTTTGAGGTATATGTGTGTGAGAGAAAAATAAAAAGTGCCCGAGGGGTATATTTACAGAATCAGGAAGGATTAAGCACTTGCTTCTTACTTATATCTATATTTCTCTCCTTACTGACCCCCTTCTCCCAGTTTCAGTTACAAGAAAAGGCTGGGAATGCCATGTTACTCTAGAAATATCTAACCCGAGGGTCCCCTGACGCCTTTTTAGGCATCCAGTGAGTGTTTTTAGAAAGTGGGCAGGTCCAGGTGGGGCTTTTACTCAGCAGTGCTTCTGAGTGATCACTGGAGATCTGATTGGCTGTGCAGATTTTTTAAAAGTTGCTTCAGCAACAGCTGCCACCACAGCAGAATGATTTCCACTGCATTACAATAATATTTTAAGTAATATGTTAATTTTAAAAGACATCCCATTAAACAGAGCTTCTCCCTGAAATGCTGACGTTTTAGCGGTTAGCTCCACCTTCTATGGCAGCCAATGTGTGGTTGCATCCATCACCCTGTTTCAGAATTCCAAAGGTGCCTGGAAGCTCTAAAAGGTAAGGGGGACCCCTGGTCTAACCTCTCTCCTCTAATTTCTTTTGTAAAGGTACTTTCAGCACTGTCAGTACAAGCAAGGGGTGCTGCAACACATACCAAGTATGAAAGCTGCATCCAAATCTGCAGGTTATGCTGGCTATTATTGTCTACCTGTGTGCTAACTGATGGCAGAGAGGCTTATGGAAGCGTCAACTGGCCTTTGCCCCTTTTCCTTCCCTTCTCCTCTCCACCGATTGAGGGTGCTCAGAGTTATCATCACCCAGTCTTCTTGGCACCGTCTCCTCAACACCCTAAACATCATGAGCAAAAGTACAAGTTGCAGAGTCTTTACGGTTTTTGAACAATTGTATTGGCTTCAGTGGAATGTGAACTGTAGGCACACCTGCAGAATTTGGGTACAGCCCAGATAGAAAATTTGATCAGGCCTTCTGCCATTGAATGGCTAATTCATGTATATTATTGCTAAAGCATAAATTAAACTGTTCAGTCAGGTCCAAACGACAATACTTTCAGCCGATTGTTGACCTTTTAATAGTTTAATAATTAGTGCTGCATGATCTTTCCCTGTTGTGTAATCATGAAGCCAATTGTCATCCGATTATGAGCTGCCATCTGCAAGCACACAGAAACGGATCCATTTTTATTGAAAGTTATGAGTTGGTTGGCTAATATTTCATATTGTGCATACACATTGTTGCACTGGCACTTGAGAATTCTGGCACAGGGGAGTGGAAGGACAATGTGAAATTAACATATGGAATTCACTGCCGCAGGAGGTGGTGGCAGCTACAAGCATGGATGGCTTCAAGAGGGAATTGGATAAACATATGGAGCAGAGGTCCATCAGTGGCTATTAGCCACAAGGTATAGATAGGAACTCTCAGTCTGAGGCAAGTGATGCTCTGTATTCTTGGTGCTTGGGGGGAACAACAGTGGGGAGGCGTCTAGTGTCTTGGCCCCACTGCTGGACCTCCTGATGCCACCTGGTATTTTTGGCCATTGTGTGACAGAGTGTTGGACTGGATGGGCCATTGGCCTGATCCAACACTGGCTTCTCTTATGTTCTTATGTATGTTCTTAATGTGTTGCCTAGGCAGTCAAAGAGTGTTTCCTTACCTTCTATGTATGATTCACCTCATGATTGGCTGTGTGGACATACATGTGAAAGGCAACAGCGACTCTGACATAGGTGACAGGAGGAGAAGTTCCTCCTCCTAGAGATCAGCTTACCACTATTCCTCCTAGTTCTCCAGAGCATCCAGATCATTGTGAGTTTGTGAGTTACTAGCCAACTGTCTGGTGTGATGAATCCAATCATGATGCCCCAAAGCAACACATAAACTCAAAATACAACTTGTTTTGAATAGTGACAAAATTAATAACTGAGATAAAATAAGATTGGTGTAATAAAAATGGTGATTGTGAGCATTAGAAATTCATATTACAAGCATATTTCACCAGTAATAATTAATGTAAATCTGTTTAAGTTGATAGAATTGATGTTCATATTTAAAATCCTTTTGTGTGAATATTGCCAGTAGTACCCTAAATTAACAATCTAGATAGCACTGAGAAGTAGACTTGTACAGTATTTATCTGAATGGCTTCAATTTTTATTAAATATTTACTTTCCTAATATCAAAATCTTGAAATTATTTCTTAGATCCTTGTATCATGGAGTTTCACAAAGTATTGCCTTTCATTTTCTTTCCTTGAATTTCTTCTTGTGTACATTTGTGAGGAATCTGAAGCACAAATGAATCTGTTTAAGCATTAGAATTTAGCAAAGGGGATTGTAGTAGCAGATGGTTTGATTCGTTTTGTCTTTTAAATGCATCTGTAGTTATGGGTCCGTGAAGAACAATATGGTCTTTCACTTCACCATGGGTATATGTGCGCAGAGTGGTTATCAGCTTACAGTTTCAGGACTGTAACTTTTAGTTCATTGTTCCCCTAGATGAGCACTATGCCAGGATTGCCTACAAGGCCTTGCTTCTATGATATCGACCTTGACCCTGAAACAGAACAAGTCAAAGGGTTGTTTTGAGCCGGCTCAAAATCAGGTGAGTGATTAGTTTGTGTAAATAATAATAAAATTAAGAGTCCCGTGCATGCTGCCTGCTCTTGCCAGTGGCAATGGATTTGGTTTAAAGCTACTTTGAACATTATAGAAAGGTTTCTTTCACTAACCAAACATCCAAATGTTCAATGTATAAATATACCAAGAGGAATGTAATAGAGCTTTGTCATGATGAAGTTAAGTGTGCCCAAGTATAAAATTGCTGTTTATACATCTAGAATTTGGATTGACACAGAAATCAGTATCTTATCCTTTCAGTTCCATAGTTAATCACTCCTCAACAGTCCCAAAATAGAGAGCTGTAGCCAGGCAAGATGATGTGAGATTTAGGGTTGGATTGAGCTCAAGGACCTTAAGAGGTCCATGCAAGGATTCCCAGTCTTTGCAACACTCTCCCCCAGCAGTTCTTCCCAACCCCAGGAAGGTTTATTTCTGAGGACACAGGACCTGTGTGGAGTAAGAGCCCGTGAGCAGAGGGGAGAAATGGTCAGCTGACACTTTGCATGGCATGAAGGTAAATAACATTCCATGAAGCCTCTACGAAAGGACAGGATTTTTATCTCCAGGCAGTTGGCAACACTACCTCTGACTATGGCTTCAAGAGCAATCCACCTCTCCTGTATGAAGTTGCCACACAAAATTCTCCCAAGCCTTCATTCTTTTTGTTCCCAACTACGATTGTGATTAACTCCATGCCCCTGCACCCCTTCCCCTCAGTCTCCTGCCTCCCATATCTATTCTTTCAACAAGTCTTGCTTCTTAGCCTATGTCTTTCCTTTTCTTCAGTCTGTGCTTCTAGGTGCTCTTATTCATTTTCCTGGCCTTGAGTATCCTTTGGCTTCTCCTGCACTCTGCCTGCCCTCCCTGCCAACAGTACACAGGCCCTTCTGTTAATAGATTTTTGTCCTCATCCTCTGCCCCTCTTTTCCTTTGGCTATATTAAAAAAGCCCAAATAGCCTATACTAGCCCAAGCTTGGGAAAACTCAGAAATTAAGCAGGGTCAGCTACAGGCCTGTAGCCAGAAAATTTGGGGGGAGCCACCGGGGGCGACGTCACCAGAAATAATAAAATTAAAATAAACTAAAAGGCGACAAGAAAAGCCAGCCCACTGAGTTGTAAATGCATGCGTTTGGCAAGCCCTTGAATGCACACACACATACGCTGTGCACCTGGGTCTGTATTCATGCCACGGAATGCCCACCGGTTTGCAAGGTGCCCAAGCCCGCTGGAGAGGCTGCAAAAGTGCAAAGCTGCACTGGCTGACATTTGGAGCTTTTTGCAAAGGGAGCGGACCGAAGGGGAAGACAATGGCAAACCTCTTTCCTTGAAAACCTCATGGTCCTAGGGTCTTAGGGTTGCATGCGTCGTTTGCAACTTGACAGCACTTAATTATAACAGCCAGAATAGCGCTGACTAGCCCAATCTCATCAGAATTTGGAAGCTAAGCAGGATCAGCTACAGTTAGTACTTGGATTGGAGACCACCAAAAAAGAGGGGTTGCTATGCAGAGGAAGGCTATGGCAAACCACCTCTGCTCATTCCTTGCCTTGAAAATCCCACCACACAGCACTGGCTTTCTTTCAGCTTCTCTGCCGAAAGAACCTAGCCATTCCGCCTACCTCTGAACCTTGTTTCACTTTCCTTTCCCTATGCTGCTCTGTGGCCCCACCTTAGTTACGTTCCTGGCAACAGCATACAGTTCCCCATCCCTAGCTTCTAAATGATGTTCTCCAAGTCAGACTAATATTTTACATCCGTCAACAGCGTTTGCATTTATTTTTTGGCACCTTGCCCATCATCCATTAATACGTTCATGAACATTGCAACAACTCCAGTAATGGCAATGGCAATTTACAGGTGACATGCAGTTTCTATCATCTGTAGCCTCTGTATCACCAGAAACCCTTTTGCGAGAACCTTCTGTATTCAGCATTCTTTAAAAATTTAATTTTCCAGTTACATTTTTATTCCTTTCTTTCCAAGCTGAGAGAGAGAGAGAGAGAGAGAGAGAGAGAGAGAGTGTGTGTGTGTGTGTGTGAGAGAGAGAGAGAGAGAAAGAGAGAGAAAGGGAGGGAGGGAGGGAGGGAGGCACCTTAAGTTCCTTCACCATTTACCAAGCATTTGCTAAAGAAGTTTGTACATTCCTTGCAAAAGTACAACAGAATATTTTTAAAAGTCTCAATTGATGTAGTCACAATCAATCAATCAATCGCAAAATTCCCATATATTTTAATGGCAAACAATATTTACCCATTTGAAAAGGAGCTATTAAGAGAGACAAGCTAGTTGTATGTAGCCATTGCAGGCACTCCCTCACAATCTCCTTATCCTATAGATCAGGGCTATCCTGCTCCTGTTGTCTCACCCACATCCACAATCTTGATCATAAAATCCCTTTCTCATACAGCCTTTCACAAATTGGACTGCTTTTAAGTATATTTGTTTTATGTGCTTGTACTGAGACTCATTTGGACATTTCTAAGCAAGGATGGGGTAAATGGAATGATGGGAACTGAATTAGCCAAATTAAAATAGTTTAGAAACCTTAATCCTCTACTGTAATATAAAAAGAATCTTTAAAACACTTCTTTTTTTAAAAAAAAAAAACACTTCTGAAAGATGTTTGGGCTTTGGTGAGCAATAGGAGAAAGGAATTTCTTAACCAGAGAACAGTTGTCAAGCCCACATCTCTACAGTCTTTGTGGCTGTAAACTCAGTGTACAGATAATAAACTGAAGAGCTTGTTTACAGCCTACCTCAGAGGTTGCAGTGAGATGTCAGAGAAGAACCAGTCTTCCCAAGAAGACCTAAGCTATTTAGGACTTTAGAAGTCATAGTCATCACTTTGAAGTCAACCAGAAAATAAATGTGGACTCAGTATAGGCACTGGAGCACCAGTTAAATGTGCTCCCAGTGGTATTTTTCTTTTCCTTAGTCCCAGTAAAGGAATAGACTGCCATTAACTGCAAACAGTCATTAAGGGTCCTCCTCATAGGGCAATTGTGCTTTCTAGCTTGTATTTACAAAGACATCACTGATGGCTGGTGGATGTATGTAGCATGAAAAGGGAACTTCTCTGGGGTGCCTTTGTGTGGAGTTGCTGAGACTAAATGTCCAACATGGAAACAGCAGAGGCAGAGAGACTAAGCTGGATTATTGACTGCAGTGAGCTACTGCACTCCCTCCACTGCCTCATAAGCAGCAGATCCCATCTATAGGGAGGTAGTGGTAGGACAACCCAACACATATGGCAGAAACACTCCAGAAACTGAAGTTGAAATTTTATATTACAGAGGATTTCTATCTCCATAATTTGCACAGGAATCTTTTAGTTGGAACCTACAATCAGAAACCTATAGTAGTAAAAACCATGGAATTGGGACTTAACTGGCATTATCAGTTATTCCCTTTCTGCAGTATTGGTAATCTTAGTTGGTCTATCCAGAGGTCATTTCGGGGGGGATCGCAGGGGATCGCTGTTCCCCCGGGTGAGGTGCAGGGGGCGGGGCACACGACGAAGCCCCGCCCCTTCTTCCAGCCTCATTCTGTTGCAGAAGGAGGAAGAAGCAGGAGGGTAAGTTGGCGTCCTCCCCCTCTGCCTGGCCGAGGCCACTCCACGTGGCCTCCGCAAGAACTCCCAGCCCCATCCAGGAGCTTCCCCAAGGTAGCTGTGTTAGTCTGTTGCTGCAAAATAGTCCAAGAGTTCAAATAGCACCTTTAAGACTAACCTTTAAGACTAAGACTAACTGAGTGGTTGGTGTGGCCTTATGACACACTTCCGGTGATGTCAGGGGGTGTGGCAAATGCTAATGAGTTATACTAATGAGTTCCCCTAGCTCTTTTTCTACGAAATGACCCCTGGGTCTATCTGTTTTTTAAACTTATCCTTTAAACACAGACTACAGTCAGACATCACAATAAACAATGGTTTGCTTAAACCACAGTTTGTTGCACAAACCCTGGTTTGTTCGCAAGAGGGACAGAACAGACTACAATTTGTTCATAAATCAGTCTGCTACTTGACTTGCAGTCTATCTCCAAGCAGAATCCCTAAGTGCTATGAATCCCCTTTACATTTTCTCATCTGCTAGCAAAGTTTGCTATTACAGACTACTTGGTATAGGCCATCTGTAATAAACTAGAGAGTAATGAGGGGGGTAGAAGCCTAGGGCAGGGCAAGCCACCTCATCCTTCATGCATTTCCCAAGTTGTACTCTGAAACAAAACAGATCTTTCACAACCCTCCCCCATTCTTTTGCCATTCCACCATATTCCCTAACCTTTTATCTCATCTTGGGGGGGGGGAGTTTACTTGGGGGGATATGAATGGAGAGCTTTCTTTATGGAGAGGAAGATATTGGAAGTAGGTGGCCTGTGAGCTGCTTCTGACTGGTAGAATGGTTTATGTGGAACAATTTCTAAGGAGTCATTTGGAAACATAAGTACAAGCATGTGATGAAGTGAGATCTTTTGTCCCACTTCCTTTTAAGGAGGAGAGTCATCATTACCTGAGGGCCGGTGTATAGAAAGAAGGCAGAGGAACAGGAGTGTGCTGTGAAAACTTCAATAGCTAAATGCAAGGGGATCTGGAAAGAATTTGGTTGCTTCTCTGTATCTGGAAAGTAAAACAGACTGTGCTGCAAACTAAAATTTCTGCATTCATATGGCAAAGCAAATCATATTTAATGGGCTAGATACAAACTATGGTTTAGAATCCTGGTTCAACCCATATTAACAAACTACAGTTTGTTGGGCAGCCTACATTCAAATCTCACACTAAACCAGAATTTAATAAAAATCATGGTTGGTGAGCTATGGTTTATTATGATATCTGCCTGGAGTGATGGCTGGCATTCGGACATCACAACAAATTGTAATTAATCTACAATCATGTGCAAACAAAGCTTGTTGCCATACTTTAGCATTCCTTTCTTCCTTCCCACCTCTCTCTTCCTCTCATGTGGGCAGAACTTGGTTGCAAACTTCCTGGTTCCATCATGCTCAAATTTGTTGTGAGGGCCAAATAAAGATACCATAGTAAACCACAGTTAAAACATTTGAGTATTTACTGAGCAGTAAATTTGAACTTGATGGAACTGATGTTCCCAATCACATTTTGCATACATGAAAGAGAGATGGATGAGATACTGGGCACACAATCACAGTAAAAAGTTGTGTTTGTGGTACCTAACTTCAGTTTAAATACAGCTGGTTGTAGTGCCTGAATGCAGGAATCGTGATAGCAGAGATCAAGATGGTCACAAACTTGTGGAATATATACAGTTAGGGTTTTTATTACACTGACATAATCCAAAAAGTGAGTACGATCTGTTCATATTCCTTCATCAGTTTCAATAGATACTGTGTTCCTTTTAAAAAATTATTTTAAAAAAATCATTACTTATGCTATTCTTCCTACAAAGAGCTGAGGGCAGTGTACAGTATGTTATTCTTTGTGAAGATACATGAGGGAACTGTATTTGGTGAAAGTACACTGTACTATGAGGGACAGTTGCATGCTAGTTTATACTCCAAGCAAAATAATTCCAACTGTGTAATATTGCAGATAATTTGCTGTCTGACATCCTTTTTTCTTCTTTTTTTAAGGGAGCCAAAATGAAGTTCTGTTTCTTCCAGCTATGAAAAGGGTATTCTTAAAGTCCTTTTTTCCCCCTCTAGACTTCTGAAAATACAAACGGCAAGCTTCAATGTTTCCTGAAGTACAAGACAAGCATGATTTTGAAGAATGCCTATGATGTGTCTCTGGAAGAATTCTGGGATAGACCAAAGCACAAAAATATGCCCTTTGCTGAAGTCTTTTTGTAGTGAAAAACAGTCTAATTCATAAGAACCAAAAACAAAATCAGTGCAAACTAATTTATTCTAAAATGTAGTATAAAGGAATGCCTTGCAAAACCATTGTCTACACGTTTGATTGTTTACTGGAGGGGAGCGCCATCAACAAAAAGAAAACTGTTTGCACTCTTTATTTTCTGTTCCCTACTTCAGCTCCCTCACCTGAGGCAATCTAGAAAAACAAGCTCCATTAAGCAGCATTAAAGGGCACGGGGCAGCTTCTAGCACTTAGAAATTGAAGTCTCTGAATTATCAGTCAGTGTAACCTTGGACACTGCTGGCTGGGGGGTGGTAAGTGTTCAAATTTAGGGTTCTGATTTGAGGAAACAGCCCAGGAATTCTGTGAAAGGTGAAAATAGAGCTGTTTTTCTCTCTGTGGCTAAACAGCTGTGAAATGCTTATACTTTATGCATCTCCAAGTATCATGCTCTGCCAAAGGAGTCTGAGTTACTAGGCTTACAGTGCTTCGAGCCATTGTGAGTGACTCTGGTAAAAATCCCAAATGTCAACAAGCCTGCTTTTTTTTTCTTCTCAAAGTCAGAAAAAGTAAGCAAACTTTATCTTCAAGTCTCCTCCCCCTAAAGGGTTAGTGCTTGGTTCCTGACTGAGAGGAATTTTGTCCTTTTTTGGGTAGTACTTTAAATTGCACATATGAAACATGAGAATGGATGCAAGCTAGTGCACAGATCTGTTTATTTCAGTGTTTCTTACTGTCTGCGGTGGTGTAGCCTTAATAAGAAGTGCCAAAATACTAATTTTGCTTATGCTTGGGGGGGGGGGGCAGTTAGTAATCAAAACTCTTTACTTTGCATTGTTATAATTGCCAGTCACAAAGTGAAGCAATTTTCCCCTGAATTAACACAAAGTATAACATCCGGATTGCAAGATGTCATGGTCCCACTGTACACCACCTTGGCCAGGCCACACCTGGAGTACTGTGTACAGTTCTTGAACCCTTACTCCAAATGGGTGTGGACAGAATGGAGCAGGTGCAGACGAGGGTGACAAAGGAGAGCAGGGGCCTGGAGACTAAGCCGTGTGAGGAAAGGCTGAGGGATTTCGGAACGTCCATTCTGGAGAAGAGGAGGAAGAGGGGGAACATGATTGTTTTCTTTAAGTCTTTGAAAGTTTGTCATTTAGAGGAGGGCAGGGAGCTGTTCCTGTTGGCTGCAGAGGTGATAGAAAGTGGCGACAAGTCACTGCTGACAGTGGTTTGCCTTGCCTGCCTCCATGCCAAGACCCTGGTATTCCTTGGAGGTCTCCCATCCAAATACTAGCCAGGGCCAACCCTGCTTAGCTTCCAAGATCTCATGAGATTGGGCTAGCCTGGGCTATCCAAGTCAGGCAGCAAAAGATAGGACTCACAATAATGGGTTTATATTGCTTGCGGACAGGTACTAGCCGGATATTAGGACTTTTTTTTTTTACAATAAGAGTAGTTCAGCAGTGGAACCAGCTGCCTAGGAGGTGGTGAGCTCCCCTTCACTGGCAGTCTTCAAACTGCAGTGGGACAAACAATTGTCTGGGGTGCTTCGGCCTGATCCTGCATGGAGCAGGGGGTTGGACTAGTATGGCCTGTATGGCCCCTTCCCACTCTGTGATTCTATAAAAGTACCCATCAACAGGGAAATTGCTATAGAACTTCAAATCTGATCATATTTTAACAGATCACTTTGGCATATTATTACTCATAATTGCTGATCATTACACATGCAATCTCACTTTCCTAATGTTGATTTTACAGTGAAGATAAGTAACTGCATTATCTCCTTGAAGGCACTGAACTCTTCAAATCATTCAGATACTTATCAAGAATCCATCCAGCATAATTACATAATATAAACAAGCAACATGCTTGGTGCCTGCAAGACACACTGAACTTCAGGGGCTTCATTAAAATTTTGAGTGGTTGCATTTGCACTCGCTTTGTCAGTGCTCATTTCTTTTGGTTAGAACAATGTAACGTCTGTGAAGCAAAGCCGGAGGGTTCATTTTCTGTGCTCTTATTAAGCAGCTGAGGATTGATTAGGGCTGATTTAAAAATAAAAGGTACTAAGTGCTTTTTCTGGTGGCTATTTATTAAAGGACTCTGGTTCTAAATCCTAATTAATTTTAGGATATATTTTCTGCCTGTCAATGGTGTGGGTGACAGACACACCCACATTCAAATATATAGGCAACTAGATGATGCAAGCAATTAATACATACAATTCAAGCAATCAGAACAAAAATACCACCCATTTACTTCCAGGTTACCTTTTCAGTACTTTTCTCCCTCAAAGCCCATCAGCACGTGCCCTTAATGTTAAAAGAAACATGGGACTACAGTATGTAGTAGGGGTGTGCATTCGGGTCTACCCAAACCGAAAATATACCCGAAAAGCACCTTATCAATGTTTTCCGGGTATATTTTGGAGAACCAAAAAGAAATCCCTGGAAAAATCCCAGATATATTCAGGAATTACCAACAAAACCAAGCTGCCCAGCAGAGCCGCAGGTGAGCCTATGGGGAGAAGTCTCCCCACAGGTTCAGCTCCTGAGTGGGCTGCTCTGTTGGGCAGTCCTGTCTAAACCAGGCTCTGCAGCAGAGCCCCAGCAGAGCCTGCAGGGAGAGTTGTCCCCACAGGACCGGCTCCTGGGTGGGCTGTTTTTGGGCAGTCTGGTCTAAACTGGATTCCTGGGCAGGCTCTGTTGGGCAGTCCAGTCTAAACCAGGCTGCCCAGCATAGCCTGTGGGGAGAGTTCTCCCCACAGGATCAGCTGCTTGGCGAGCTCTTTTGGACCGTCCGGTTTAAAGGGACAGCCAAAAGAGCCCCAGCTGAGCCAATTTTAGTGGCTTTGCTACTGCTTTTCCTTCTCTGTGTTTTCTTGTTCGGGTCTATTGGACCTCAAAAATTCAGGTTTTCAAAAAAGAATCCCAGAGCCGAATACTTTACTGGTATTGGGATCTGGTTTTTTTTTCAGGAATCCTGAAATTTTGGGGGGTCCAATAGACCAAAACCTGAAAATTTTTGTTGTTGTTGTTCAGTCGCACAGTCGAGTCCGACTCCTCACGACCCTATGGACCAGATCACGCCAGGCCTTCCTGTCGTCCGCCGTCCTCTGAAGTTTGCTCAATTTCATGTTCGTTGCATCTATGACACTGTCTAACGATTGCATAGCCCTAGTATGTAGCCCTCTTCTGATTGTAGAATGGGGTACAATTAAAACATCTGTGGTGAGCAGAACTGCTACAGCAAGCTCTGAAACCAACCTATGCATATTCAACTGAATGATGTACCAAGTCTACATGCTTGCATGTATGTAACTGGATCTCTCCACACAATTTTTCTGCTTTGGAAAAGCTGGATTCCTGTTCACATAGGAAAAAGTCACAGGTGCATACATCAGAACCTACATAGGCTCTCTCCATATGTTCAAATGAGCATGCATAAGTTAGGGGTGAAGCTAACTGCTGTGATCTTGCTATTCCCTTCTCCCACTACTTACTCCACCTGCATATATATTCGATCCCATTTTAACATCAAGAGAGGGCTTCTGACTTACAGCATCAAGTGTGCCCCATAAATTTAAGTCACTCCAGTGGCCATTACTTACCACAAGCAATTCTGGGACTCTACAATACCAACTTTCTACAGAAGGAAAATTCCCCAGATTTCTGGATAGTTAAACAGTTTATTCATTTAATCCCTTCAAAATAACCCTTCATTTCTGGAGTTTTATTTTTTATGTTTCCAGAGTTTTATTAAACTACAATTCAGTATTAGTGTAGGGCTTATATTTTTTCACCTGAACATATATTTTTCCTTCCTTTTAGGTGAAAAAGCTGAATTATAGCAGTCATAAAGCATGAAAGTAGGCCACTCGTTTAGATGTGTTTGGTGACAAGAAAATGCCCACTGCAATATCATTCCTTATATATAATTGAGTAGTGAACATTCTAAATTTGGCCCCTTTAGTGTTTGGCCGGAAGAACTGCCACTCAGAAGACGCTGGCTGGGTTGACTGGCTGCTTTGTGCAGTCCCGCCCAGCGTTTCAAGGTCTTTTGCATGTGGAAGCTGATTGGACTTCACTCCATTCCACACCTCAAACTCCCCCCCCCCTGCAAGGCAGTTGGAATTGCCAGTTGCATATGGAACCTACTGTATTCTGAGGTAAAATATGTCCTCACTCACAACACATCACTTCCCCTTCAAAAGAAACAAACCCAATAACACAATCATGCCACATCACAAAGAAGACAG